CAGCTTTTCTTTGAAACTGGATGGACACTCCAGATCTTCACTTTTGTAAAAAGACTGGTAGCAAAATAAAGCATGCAGGTAATTATGCCCCAAGGAGGAGCTGTGAGTGAGGTAGACCCTCAGTTAATGTAGCTGGATGGTAGCAATTTGGTGTCAATCCCTCTTGATGTCCTGCTAAAATAAAGCAGCATTTAGTGTGTTACTATTTAATTTTTGTGGGTACAGGCATGGTTAAGTTTCTTTGTATAAGGTCTGGGTAGTAGTGTGAAGACATAAAATAAGTGTTGAGCACAGTGACACACTTGAAAGAGCAGGTTATATTTATTCTGTGTTGTGTCAAGGGCGTGCTGCTTGCTAACTGTAATTAGACAGTGTATCTGGAGGTCTGTGGCCAAATAGCAAAGATGTCTTTGCAGAATATAAAAGGACTATTGTGTTAGTCCCTGGTCTCAGAGGGTATGAAGATGTTTCCCTCTCCTGTCTGTTATTACTCATACTTGGTTACTTTTATGTAAATTCAGCCATGAGGAGAGCTGACAAGACTGTGACATGAAGAAATTTCACCTTTTTCACTGAAACAGGGCTTTTATTGTCTAGTAATACTGTCTTAGTTCTCTGCAAAGGAAAGAAAGAGATGTTATTGAAAATCCCATAATTAGCAGCTTAAGGTATAAACCATATAGAACCCTGTGTTCTATGATAAATCCCCTAATTAGCTTTGTAGGAACTATTTAAAAGCAAACATACATGCATCCTTATCACTAAATAATTATTTGCCAGTAAACTCTTTCTCAACATATCTTAGGAAAACACAAGATTATTAGTTGGCAGAGTTAAGCCAGCTGAGTAGCTGAAAAAGCATGAAAAGAGCTACAGAAGTTCTTTTCAGAATCCTGCTCTCTTTGGCATTATTTCTCTAAAGCTTGATTTATCAGGAGGAGAATACAGTATTTGGTTTCCCCACAAGTAAGCTCTTTTCATGTTTTGTCTTTGAAATGAAAATCGTCTTTTGGAACAAATATCTGCTCTATCAGATAACTGCATGCTTGTCATCCCTAACAGTGTGCTGGCAGGAAGGCTGGGCGAGGATTTTTCTGCAGTACATTGAGTACACAGTGCTGGCACTAGATCAAGAATCAATTCCTCTGATATCGAAATATTGGCTTGGCATGGCCAGTCTGATTTAAATGCTTATCATTCTTGACTTTGTAGGCTACATACAGACTGCAAACATTTTTCATTGTGGGTCTGAGAATAAACATCTTTACAGCTGCCTGGCCATTTCTAGCAGAATAACAAAGGGGCTGTGTGCATGTATGGGAGCCTGTGTGTGTGAGCAAAATTGCCAGCAGATTAATGCAACTGTCACTTCTGTGTAGGGCCATTTAGAAGAAGTTGAGAAGGGTATTTTTAATACTTGGAATTACACAGCGCTCTTTCTCCGAGTGCAAACACAGGTCTCACTGCTCAGTCTGGATAGGTGCTGGCCACGGAGACGATGGAAGGGAGAGCACAAACAAACCCCAACACAATTATTAAAACATTTTAAAATCTTTGCAATGTGAAATAATACTACTACTAATACTACTAATAAAAAAGTAAAGATAATTTCCCATAGGCAATCAGAACACCTATTAAGTTAGCAACGGCGTTTAATTGGCATTATCGCATGCTCCAGTGAGGAAGACAATGGATCTTGCGGGTGCACAAGTGGAACACATTTGCATTTCATAGATGATTAAAATAGATTTGATTGCATTTGTCTGAAGCCTGGCAAGTGAGGGCACATCTGCTGCATTCGATGTGCCCTGCGTTTCCTAGGACTAATGGAGTGCACTGAGTCACCACAAGACGGGCTTTTACCTCTGAAAGTCCCACGGCACCTTCTGCTGCATGGCCAGCTCCTTTGTTAGCCCTGGAGACCTCTTCTTATAAAGAATTGATGTAAAGTAGAGCAAGAAGGGAAGGATTTGAGGCAGTGAACTTGTCTTCATCTGGTTATGCAAGAGCCCTTGGGCTTTCTGCTGCTTCAAGGTAGAATTTATAAGGTGAGATGAAAGGTAATTTAAGTCATTAATTTGCGTTAAGGGCTGGCAGAACAACAACGGCGCATTTAATCTTGCTGTGGAAAAAATTGGTGATTTTCAGAGTAGGGGTCAGAATTAGGTGTCTGATTTCCTCTTCCACTCAGCTTTAAAGGGGCTGCTTCAAAATGGAGAATTTTATTTACTAAAAACATAAAGCTTAGTTAATTGTCTTTGAAAAAAAATCCAAGAACTTTAAATATAATATAGAAACCAATTAATTAATGCCACTAAAATGTTTTCCTCCTGCTTTTCATTACTTTCCCATCTAAATTCAACATTAAAAATACACTCCTGGCTGCAGTTCAGCTCAGACTTTTCCCCCACCACCCGGTCCCTGTGAAGGACAAGGGCTGCCCTGTGCATTGCAGGGGGCAGTGCCCTCTCCTGTGAACCCACCTTTCCCTCCCCTGCCCAATGACCACTCAGCAGCTTTCTTTTTGGCAGTGCTATGCTTTTTTGCCAGCCAGTGTAACCACCCTGGTGGCTGTGGCTGATGCTCTTGTCCTTCTCTATTACTTCCTCTGCTGCCCTGGGTGTGTCTCCTGGTCCTATACTGGGGTCCTTGTCTATGGGTTCTGCTGTTTATTTTTTCTCTACTCCAAGGTGCCTTCTATTTTTGCTGCCTTTGTGTTCCTTCTGCTCTTGCTACATGTTGTACTCTGCTGTCCCTTATTCTCACAGCATTGTTCTCTTTCATGTGCCAAATGACTGCTCTTCCCTGTTTGAGAAATGTCTCTTAAAAACACGCTGCCCTTACATCAAAGAGTGAAATAAAGAGGAGCTGGTTTGGCTGGGAGAACCTGGAAAATATGCCTCCTCAGCTGATGAAAGCAGTTTGTTCAGGACACTAATGTTTCAGAATAGCTGGACGTGTTCAGCAGCAATTATGATGGGTTACTAAAGGAGCAGGTTTTTTGGATGGCTTCTGTGCTGCCACACCCAGTGGTCCCTGCGTGATTGTGGCCACGATTCTGCCCTGCACCCTCTGCACTGTGAGCTATTGGTATTCCTGTCTTTCAGTCCTGGTCCTTGCTCATAGCATTCCTGCCATCACTATGATCTGTACAATTCTGGCATTGCTCATTTCCTGTCTCTCTCCTTCCATTGCTCAGTTCCCTCAGGAACAGCCCTGGCACTGCCCATCTTGAGGGTAGCAGAGCAAATAATCCTTCTGCCATTAGGAGAGCTCAGATACCACCTATGTGCTTTTCACTGGGACAGTCCAGCATTCCTTTCTCCCTGAACTCCTTTTCTCCTGACCATGGCCATGCCTTGTTGGTCTGGACTATCCCTGTATGTGATGTAGGACAACTTCCCTGGACTGGGTGGTAGCCCCAGGGAGATCAAATGCACAAGTGCTGGAATCTTTTTTTTTAAACTATGTTACTTTTGGAAAGAAAATTACTGGGGATGTATGTCACATTGTTAAAATAATAATTAAAGTTTGCCTGTCGTGAATCTTATTTTAATCATGCACATGTTGCAATTCTTCCCCCTTTTATTTAAATAAAGTGTTCCCATAGAGAAAGAGTGCTTATAAAAAAATTCTCACCTTTTATTGGCAATCCTTTTCCCTTCAGCCTTGTTGCTATTTAATCATAGCCCCTGGAGGCAAGTTGCACATATTAACCTGTCAGAGAAATGTTAAAACTGTGTGACACTTAGGAATATATTCAGAAAGTCCATAAAACCATCACGATGACTCTGTTTTCTCTCCTCATCTGTTCATGTACTTTAACAACATTTCTCCATATACTGTATCTCTCACCCTCTTGTTCTTTAATGTGGTCTCCCAGTTGGAAGTGGCTTTTTGGAGGTTTTGGGACCACCAGCCAGAGAAATGTGGGCCCCTGCTTTTAAGCATGACCTGGTCTAGGGTCCCTAAGATGTCAAGACAGACAGAAGCCATAATCCAAAGCCTCATCTGAGGCTCTCTGCCAGGCTGCAGGTAACGCATCAAGACAAAAACTAGAGCTGAGCCCTTCTGAATGCTAACTGTTTGGGTAGTGTGGGCCATTATCTCCATTAAAAAATTGTCAAGCTGCTTATGCACCGTTCCTTTTATAAGTTACTGGTGATATTTGTTTGCTGTGAATCTTCTAATGGACCAAGACATCTCATTAAGCTATGGGGGAGGTCTGTTTCTTTGGGTGCAGCTGGCCCTCCTTTCTGAGGAGATGGATTGGAAGACAAGGAAAGAGGAAGAAAGGGAAAAGGAGCTTGGATAGTGAAGAATGATGATCAGTGGTGTGTGCTTTTGAATAATGGTTTCACTCACAGGTTTCAGACTGTTGAATATAAATTTGGGCATCCAGATGTAGGCACACTGTCTGGGAAACAAACATTTCAGAGGGGCACTCTGGATCCTGCAGTCAGGAGAAGTCCCAATACAAATAGCTGTTTCCACATGACAACACAGACACCACACTCAGGGGGAAATGTGGCTTTTAGCTTCAGCAGAGTTCATCTGTGGTAAATATCTGGGATATTCTTTATCAAGGCATATAAGTAAATGCTAGTGTTTAGGCCCCTGTTCTTGAAGCAATGCAATATGGAATATAAAAATAGTTAATACACAGGTCATGAGTTTGTAGATTTCATTTTTATTCAAATAAGGAAAAATTGGTTTTTATATAAGCATGTGCATGCTAAAAAATTGTTTACCATGTTTCAGAAACCCAAACATAAGGCTAAATTAAGCTTGATCAGTCAAGTCTGACTGTATCCTCTTTAATATACCACAGCTGACAATTCTAATCGTGAAGCTTGTAAGCTGTAGAAAAAGCATAATTTTTATACACCTTTGGGAGAGAGCTAGTAGCTAAGAAGTTTCTCTCCCTATTTCAGAAAGAAAAATGTTCATATGCAACAGAAAGATCTTTATTTGAAGGCAAAAATAGCACCTCTCTGTCATGTGCTCTAATTAACTTGCTGTGATGTCGCTCTGGTGATGGACACAGAAATAGACATTTGCTTTCCTAAATCCTGAAGTAGAAAATGAGGCATGAGTCAGGAGGATACAGGAGGGCAGAACTCATTTTCTTTTAATTACTTTTATTCAGGTTATATCATCCAGCAGCTGTTCAAGTTTCATTTCGAGATGTTGGATCCTCCTGAAAACCCAGCATGTCATTTTTGATGGGACTTACTCTCTTCTCCTTTACACATTATATAAGATTTTATATCTAAGTGCTGATAGGGAGCGCAGACACGGTGAACAGTGCTCCCATTCACTGTTGAAGGATGTAATTGGCCATCACGTCTCTGACAGTAAAATAGAGGAGGCAGAAGCTCTGCAAAAAATGTGGCCAAACAATATGAGAGTTCTCATTAGTAAGCAAATAGGCAGGGAAGTGTCTAGCTGTTCCTCCAGCTGGCATACGCAGGTACCAAGGCCTGCTTTGGGGAGAAGCAGGGCGCTTCATCGCTGCACGGCAAGGTTTGGATGGTTGTGAAGGCTTTGCCACAACCTCTGCTTGGCACCAGAGCTTCAGGGAGCTTTGCTCTCTGTGGCTCTAGATGGAGCTGGCAAAATTAAAGCTGTAACCAGGTGGATGTTACTCCCCAGTGTCTCTCTCTGCTTTTCAGTCTGCAAGGCAGGTTTGGCTGAGGGCAGAGGAGGGCCCTCCCCAGGCACGGTCCTGCTGAACACTGGCCAGGCCTCTGGCTGCTGTCACCAGTGTCTGATTCAAGTCCTCAGTCCCACTGCCTCCACTCCTCTCCTCTGAAATCAGAATAACATGACTCTGTTTTCCAGCAGCATATGGAAATAAAGACATAATGCCTTCTGAGCCCCCACGTGCACTCTGCAGCTATCACTGGGTCTGTATCTGCACCGTGAGTGTGTAACTGCTGCTGAAGGCAGCCAGTGCCCTGGAGAAGCAACAAACTTGTAGACAAGGTAACAGATAGATTTGCTGGTGACTGCAAGAATTTACCACTTGATACATCTCCAATTGTTTTCCTGCCCTTTTGAGAAACAGTAGGAAAATGTGAATAAGAAAATCCTGGTTTTCAGTTCCTCGTATGTTGTGGCTGGCTTCCTTTAGTGATGGACAAAGGACTGAACCTTCTCTATGTGTCAGTGCACTTATTTTTCACCACAAGGTCTGTAAGCACAGCCTCTTGCAGGAGAGCACTTCAGGGTTTTTTTCTGTGGATAGTTCTTTTCCATGCTCTCTTGGGATATTGGGTGACAAGTAACTACCTGGCCTTCTCATTTTGGCTGTGACCCTGAAGGAGTACAGGGTACCTGAGACAGCTTCAAAAAGGCTGTGTAGAAAATTTAGAAGAACGGGTAAGAATAAATAAAAGGAAAAAACCTGAAAATAAGAATGTCTATATGGAAATCATATTATCTGTACTGTTTGAGGGCATTTGAAAGTCTCTAAGGTCTCTGAAGCCTATTTTCTATGTACATTTAGGATGCCTCGACAATATAAATCAATATTTCAGTATTTAAAATCTAGGAAATGAAATGTGTATAAAATGGAACTGGCCGAATGAATTCTGACAGCCTCTCCTACATGCATTATTTATTTTTTATTGTTTTATTTTTTACAGATGTGGATGGTGACTGAACTGCTGCTGTAAACTTGTACCCAGGTAGCTTTAAAACACATATTATTGGCTGAGTTCATAGTAATAATGTAGTTAAGTTATAAAACAGCTTTTGTTACTAACAACTTTACAAGCTTTAAATATATATCAAACTACCAAATATATGAGAACCATTTTCATCTATACCTGAAATGCTCTTATATGGAATGGGTGATTCATAGCAGATCCAGAAAACACATAAAACTTCTGAAAATATATTTAGCAAAGGAAGTGAAGGCTATTTTAAATTTATGTTGAGCTGGAATTAGAAAGTGCCTACAACAGTGCCTTAACAGACAAACTCCACAGAAGAGAGGACTGTATCCTTAGGATTTACAGACTGACCAGGAATTTGATTTAATTCTCTGCTTCCAAAGGGCCACCTTAGCCCACCTTCACAAGCAGCATGTTGTGCCTCTGGTTTCCCAACAATGGCATCCCTGTAAATCAGCACTTCCAGGTCTTACAGCACAGACCTGTGTCCTGAAGGTCCCACATGACCTTGGGCCTTTCCTTGTTCAGATTCACTGTTGCTGGCATCAGCCTCTCTGAGTCAAACATGCAGGCTCAATACTACATTTAAACCCTGAAATCCATTCTGTTTTAGTGCTTTCTTCTTTATTTTTTATTATTATTCTCTATTTAAGCTTTTTTCCTCCCCCCCTGCAAGCTCCATACATTTAAAATTCTTCCAAATGGATGCAAATGGCTCTTATTAGAAAAACAGAAACCATAAAATCACTCCAGGACAAAAGCTATCCCCAGCATGTTTTAATGTTCAAATTAGAGTACCCTTCCCAGTGCTAAAATGGAGTTTATAATGGAAATGCTGACATCCTTACCAGACCCTATTGGCCTGTTGCTCTTTTGTCCTGCAAGTTATTAAATTCTAGCCTGGTTGCCTAAGAGACAGGGTAGCTACTTAGAAGATATTTAACCATCAGTAAAAATTAATGTCCAATGTATTTATTGGAAAAATACACTTAATTAAGCGCTCCAGTTATACAAGCCACCCACCAACTACAAGTGTGTTCTGGCAACAGAAGTGTTGTTGTTACCCTGGTTCTGCTTCACGATGTTATTTTCTTAAGTAAATGCATTTTTCAGCCTAACAGTTCTGGCTACAGCATATTGATAAGATAACTCTGCACTAAAAGGGAGACACAGTATTTTTAGTCTCCTTTTCCAGTTACCAGTAGTTCATTAGTGACACTGTTGTGAGAGTGTTGATTCATTAAGAGTCTTTTCATTAACAGTCTGACATTCATATGTGAAAGAAAAAGCCAGGAAAAGTAACAAGGCACTCAGCATTTTCTTCTGCTTCTTTGGTACTTCTATCTTTTGTAATGTCAACAGATGAGCTGGAAGCTTGCAAGACTGTAGGTTTTAAGCCAAACTTGAGGTGTACTGTCTATTTTTTCTTAATTTCACATTTAATGTGATTATGGGGCAAATTTTTATTTTTCTTGTGTGAGACATAGATGGCAACTGCATGTAAAAATGAGATGTGAAGGTTCTGTTTTTAAATTGCTTTTAATTGGAGCCTTAAAGGCTAACATGGAAACACTGGGGAAAATATCACTTTTGCTATGTTATTTAAATAGGCTGTTAGCCACATCCCTAAACTTTATATGGCTTTGGATAGATTAGGAGCTCTCTGCTAAGCTATCAGATATATCATACTCATGTAAATTCCTAGCAAATATATAAATATGTATTTTTCGTTGTTTATAATTGCCATTTATTTGTAGGACCAAATTCCATAGCTTAACATTTATACAACGCCTGATACTTTAAGCATTGCACAAATATTAGTTAATTAATAAAAACATCTGAGCAGCTCTTTTGAGACTGTCGAGTTCCAGAGAAGTAAATTCCTCTTCTTGAAAAAAGGGACTGTTCAAGCAAACACACTGTAAGCTTTTAAATGGCAAATCCAAAATGACATAGTGGGACACCATTTCATGCCTGAAATCTGAGCACAAAGCCTTTATTTTTCAAAGATATTTTTTTTTCTCCAGTCTTGTAAATAAATACTAGGTAATGACTTAGGAAGCAGAGCAGAGACAGGCCAGAGATGAACTTGACATTGGCACTTTGTTTTCATCTGCATATAGTATTTCATTGGAATATAATATTATGTTGACTTATGTATTCATTCAATCATTAAATGCAACAGGACTCTTTAGTTCTATCATCAAAAAAGCAAAAAAACAGCAAAGCAAGCTGTATGGATTTAACCTTTTTTCTCCTTCATGAGAATTCATCAAACAAATGTGTGGCCTTTAAGTACTTTACAAGTTATTTTGGCTTTGAAAGGTCTGATTTAGTGATGCAAAACTGTGTGGTTATCTCTGGCTTGCAAACAAGTCTGAAAAGCTCAAATCCAACCCATAACATATTGTTTGATAGCTTTAAGCTACACTGGCCCTTCTGTTTTCCTACTCAGGGCTTTGCTTTCCATGATAGTCTGACAATTCTGGTCCCCTCTGTCTGAGTCAAAGAGATGGCATTTCAGAACACATGTGACCATTGTGTTGTTATTGCTGTGTATTTTTATATTCATCATTTTGTCTGTAGAACAAGCAGGACAAAGCAAATCTCCACTGTTGGCACGTGATTTAAGGTGGACACGGAGTGGTAAAAGATGGGAGTGAACAGAGGGGAAAATCTGGCTTGAAGAGAATGGGGTATGACTGGATTTATGTTTTCATTTTTTTTCTTGGAAGTTCTTTTTGAGAATTATTTTTTTAATACTTTGTTGTTTAAAATAGAAATGTTATTGGCTAGTGATTTTTAATTTTTGGTTTCCTACTTTCCTTCTCACCCATCATCTGGGACAATGTGGATGCAGTGCATTTTTAATCATCATTTGCAAATTTGAGAACTTAGGAGGCTCTTTATGCGCATATCTGATGAAAAAAAATGAATATGGAAGATGTTTTTACAGAACTTTTTCTGTTTTCTAAAAAACTTCTAAATATACTTTACATTTTGGAAGTAGCCATAATTGCAGGGCTGCAAGCATGGCATAGAGGCTGCAATATCACCTTAGGTTTATTTCTCTTGGGGAGTAGTGTTAAGGATGAATGCTTTGGTAACAGGGAACCTCAGATAGTTAATCCAAAAATTAAATTGCAAAAAGGGGGTTGAGGAAATGAAAATGACAATGACATAAACAGCTGGAATCTCAGAAACCCTCCAACAGTTTCATCTGTTGCCATGTTTTTTGCATGTCTAATTAAAGAGCTTTAATATACACATATAAGACAATTTAAAAATAGTGAAAAAACTTAATGTAAAAATAGTGAAAAAATATTAATGTAGGTGTGATTTCACAAGAGATGTGCCATTTATTTTGTTTGACAGCCAGGGATAACTGAATGGGAGTGAGAGCAGGAGTGTATGATGGCAGAATGTTCATTACCTAAGTAAGATTTCGACTCTAAAGCAGCTTTCTGCAACTTCTGATCACAGTTTTCCTTCATATTGCTCAACATGTTACATCAATATTTATACATTTTGGATAATCAGCCAATATCCTACTGCTCAATGTTCTTTTTGTGGTGTGTATTCTCTATCCAGGGAACTTTGTTTAAGCTTGCCCGTTCCATGAATACCACTTCAAGCATAAACTCTGGGCTCCCTTATATCAAGATCCTTATAGCAAGATTCGGGTGCATGGTGAAGACAACAGTTTAATACTATGAGATGAACAGAGATTAAAAAAATCTTCAAAAGAGACACCCTACACAGAATGTCTAGAGTAGAGAGAAATTAATAATCACTAAGTGAGAATTTACAAGGCCTCTTCACATTAATAAATTAAAATACTCTCAAAAGAGGATCAACAGATCTTAGCAGACTGGACAACAACTATGGAGGTGAAACACAAAATAATTTAAAAGTATTTAAAAGTAGAGGGATTTAGGATTGGCCATGCATGATCAAAGTTGTGTTACTCTACTTGGAATAGAATCCCTGCAAACAGAGCTTAAGGCCATCCCTTCCATAGCAAATTTTTTTTAACCTAATCAATCACTGCACAACTGTGCCCTAAATATGCAGTTCTTAAATATCTGATAGATACTAATTAATATATAAACAAAAATATGCATTTGATCAAGATGATATCCATAGAAACTATCCTTTAACATCCCATATGGTTTTTGGCTTACACACATCAGTGTGATGTGAGAGCCCAAGGCTGATTTTTGGTGGCTTTGCTAATGGATCTTGTCCTGCCTTGAGCCAGCCACTGGCAGCGGGTTTGCTCTACAGGGGATGAACAAAATGTGCTGCTCTGCTTTGGGGGCTGTGAGGCACCTCAGAACCCTTGTGCTGGGAAAGGAGAAAAGCACAGGTTCCCACCCACCATTCACACATTTTCACATTTTTAGACACAGTTTCCTATGACCCATGTGAAAGATTTCTTGTGTTATTGAGGAGGGCTGAGTAATATGTCTTTTTCTATTCTGATTATAATTTCATCAGAAAGCTGAGATATTCTGCTCCAGATTCTCAACTGGCAGGAGTCAGTAGCTACCCCACAGCTGGAGTGGGTCTAGTGTCTAGTTTATCTCAACGTTTGGAAGCTCAATGGCACAATTTTTGGAAGGCATTTAAAGGTGTATTTCTCAGTGCACTTTTTCATAATTACTTAGTTTCTATTTGTTAGATTTTGTCTTTTTTAAATGTTTTTATTTCTGTTCTAAAATCCAATCTGCTTTACCAGTAAACAAAAATCCCTACTCTCTCCACATTTTAAAATGACACTTTGCTTTCAGTTAGAAACTATGCTAATGGTTTTGATTTCTTTCATTTTTCTTGTTACTATTGATATCTGCAGCTGCTGTACTTTTTAAAAATATTTATATTTTTAAAAATAATTTGAATGAAAAATAGTCAGAAGTCTCCCAGGCTGCTGTTGGGGAAATCTCACAATCTACAGTTTTCAACTCAATTTCCATTAGAGAGCAGTGTGACATTCAGCACAGGGCACTCTG